AACTTAAACGCTTATTTATTTTATTTTGGGTTTTTTGTTGTGTCGTTTTAAAGATGTTTTCGAAACATGTAAGTCCATGGGTGTGTTTTAAGTTAAAGGTTATGTTTTATGGAATTTAAATGAAGTCTTCCTTATTCAATGTTTATGGTACCTATACAGTAGAGACCTTAAATAAAGTAGAAAATTTTTGGTCGTTACAATACCAATTTGTCTGATGGGTCCATGTATGCGTACGTGGGCTATGTGTAGAAAAGTACCATGCATCCAACTCTGACAAAAATTGAAAAAAGCCTAAGGTCATGCTATGGTTTAATCGATAGGTCATAGTCATATATTGTGTGTGATTGCATTATTAACCAAATAATATAACTTTACACGATATAAGGTGTTTGCCTCACTAGTTTTGTTTGTATATCCCAACACCATTTTGGCCTTTATAAAAAAATTTAACAGCACCCTCTTGTAATTAAATATTATTTTGTATTTAATTTTGGTGTTGTTTATCTTCATTTAAATTTATATTTTATTTAATTTTCATGTTTTATTTTATTTTACTTTTCATTTTTTATTTGCTTTTTCATATTTTTAGTTTTGGTCGAAGATCCAAATTCTTGAAGATCGGACATCAAGAAAGATTGTGGAACTACAATATAAAATGTGAAACTTTTAATAATATATATGGAAATTCAAGGATTGTGCCTACCATGCTATTTTAAAATCGATGTGAAGATTGTAGCAACATGAGCGTTTAATACCTATTTTAGATTTTATTATTCTAAACTTTCACTAAGATTGGTCGGTAAAAATCATTATTTTTTTAGTTTTAATAAAAAACAATATTACAATTTTGAAAACTTGTATTCATATACAAATTTATTTATTTTTTCTTCATAATTTAAAATTTTGGAGAACAACAATACACTTCATTATCAAATAAATTTCATACAAAAAAAAAAAAAAATAAACAACAACAACAACCTTTTTGTGTTATCCCATTATTTTTCATTTGTTCCTCAAGGATAATTCCACCAAAAAGAAATAATAAAGCTTCTCTATCTTAGATCCACTTGTGTATCAATTCATCAACATTAGCAAGAAAGTTTCTCAAGTAAATTCCATCATCTTTAGCCGTCCAAATACAAGTTCCTACAGTTCCATGTTTGCACCTATCACGGAGCCATAAGTGCTGTGTTTCAGGCCAAAAGCTTTCAAAAGAGACAGATGCATGTGGCGTCTCTAATTTGCACCAATAGAGAGTTGTTCCCCAAAAGTTAACCTTGAAGTTCCATTGGTAATCATCTCCATGATTAAGCAAACGATGATACCCCAAGTCATCGTCTTTAGACTGACAATGCACAAGCAACCCAAGTTTGCTTAGCCCGT